AGATAGCACTTACCACAGGCAGCTCCCTGCTTGGCAGCACAGTGGGGCTAAGGCAGCCTTACCAATGTTCCTCCATAGACCCTGGTGCGGATTGGGAGACACATGGCTCCACACACTGCTCTTGTCTGCTGGTACTGCCCCCTCAGTTCCCATTGCCCACAGTTCTCCATTCTTGGCCAATGGGAGATGTGGGGTTGGTGCTTGACAGGAGCCATGATAAAGGCCCCTTCTCCCATGGGCCATGCTGGTCATTTCTGGGAGTGGCATGGGCCTGGGACAGGCAGGAAGCCAGCGTGAGCAGCAGAATCACTCCAGTGCTGGAGTTCACAAGTGACTGGGTGAGGGGGAAGCCAAACAATGGTATGCAGGAGGCCACAGGTTGCTTACCCTGAAGTTAAGATGTTAGAGTCCCAGATTCAAGCCCATGGTAGAAAAGACTTAACAGAGGGTTATGAATCAGTGAAGATATTCAATCCCTAGGTTCTGTAAACTAGGGTCAGTTGACTCAAGGCCCACTAACCCTGGACCTATATTGAAATAGAACCATGCCCTATAACAGGGCTACTTAACTTTGGAAGCCCCGGGGCACAATGATACTCACAGTACATGCCAAGGACTACAACTTAAGTGTGGTTGCATATACATGAAAATATATATGCAAATAGTTTATTTCACACTGATGGGCAGGAACGTTTATTTCACACTGATGGGCAAGAACACAAAGATTAAGCCTTAAACCATGGCACCGAACCCAAACGTGGCAAAGATTAAGCCTTAAGCCATGGCACCGAACCCAAACGTGGTGAGTGTGAGCCAGTCAGCAACTCTCAGGCTCTGCCCACAACGCTAAGCAGCCAGCACTTCCCACAATGCCCTGGCGCTCCCAGCATCTCCTCCGTGGGGGCTAGAAATGCCAACACCCTGTACTCATCTGTTCCAGCCAGCCCATTAGCTTTCATCTTTCAATGTTCACCGTGCCTGGGAGACGTCTCACTGTTGTAAAGTGTGTTCCCAGTGGAGGCCATGTTCAAAGGATCCCATCTGTGGGCCATGTGTTGAGCCCTTCGTAAAACTCAAACCAAACCGCAGGCCACAAACAAACTGGCCACATGTTGAGTTGCCCTGCCCTAAAACATACCTTGTGTGCTTATTCTGCATGCTGGGGTGTTCTTTAACTCTGAGTGTAGAATCTTCAGTCTGGAACCTCCATTGCAAAAAGGGAGATCAGAACATCACTCTGTGGGCATTTGGTAGAGAGGTAATAGAGTCTCCATCTCCCAAATTGCTGGGGTTTCATATCCCATAATGTGTACTATAATGCACCGATGATGATGATTATTTTGTAAGTGATAGTGATTTCTGTGATTTTGGGCCTCTTCTCGAGGGATGCAACACCATGGAAGATGAGGAGGAGTCTGACAAATCAAAGTAAATAACTATTAATGTTACTAATCTTCTTTAGCATTTGTTGGAAAGTTCCCATAACCCATTATTTACTGGAATACATCTGCTTTATGGCAAAATTCAAAGTGTTTCTGCAGCCAGTGAACTCCTGATCAATGCTTGGTAAATATTCACACTTGCTCAATCCACCTTCCCCAAGCAAACTGCTGTCTTTCAGGGCTGGGTACAACAAGGTGTTTTTAACTGAAAGTTGAGTGTTTGCCAATTGAGGTGGTTTATACATATGCTCCTTAAATGTTTGTTCCAGTATCCAAATGTCTTGGTTTTCCAAAGAGATCTCAAGGTAAACCACAGCTATTTCAGGGTTGTACAGAAAAGACTTTATAAATGTTTCCATTGCAAGTGAGTTAACGGGCAATCAAAAAAAAGATTCAATCAACATTCACATTCACATTCAATCAACATTCAACATTCAATCAAGTATATGTCCGCTGCACCTACCAGTCCAGCTGCTACTGTCAGCTGATGTCTTTCAGGTGGGAGGTGGACTGGGGTGATGGAAATTCATCCTGAAGATCTTGCCATGTTCACCGGCTGGGTGAACCAGAATTAGAATTTCCAATACCCTGGTGCGTGCAAGAGAAGGGGTCAGTCCTGAAATAGATTTGTTTTTACTGAGCAGAGTGTAAAATCCATTAATATTTATCAAGTGAAAGTTTATATTAACTCTTACTCATAGGCTACATCTAGACTGCAGCTCTTTACTGGGATATCGCTGTATCCCGGGAAAGCTATGCTGCATCTAAGGAATGTGTCTGATTTTTTTGACAAATTTTCAAAAAAGAGGATGCATTCTTTCGCCATCCTTGTAAATCTCATTTCATGAGGAAGAAGGGATGACTCGAAAGGAAAGGTTTTTCCTAAATTTGGTGCTGAGTAGATGCACCAATTTTTGGAAAAGCCTTTTTCGAAAGAAAAGCGGAAAAAGAAATGCAAATTGCTGTTCGCAGTTTATGTATCTTTTTGTGACTTTTCTTTGTAGTGTAGACGTAGCCATATTTTAAGTAGTTGCTTATGTAGAATCTGTTGCAGACAGCCATTGCATGTTTTCCTTCTCTTCTTGTGCAATATGAGTCAGTCATCATGGCTCTAGCCTTCTGCATATGTTTCTGTTTCTGTTCGGGGATCTGTGCTGTGCACAACTGCGTGTTGTAAAGAGCCAAGAAATGCAGTTAGGTGAGACCTTCTGTGTAATCAAAGAAGAGCATGGAATAACCAATGTGGGCTGTATTTCAGGGAAGCTTGCTCCTGTTATCTCTGTACCTTGATGTTGACTAATGGGGGTGGGGAGAGTTAAGGGGGGTGGAAGGTTAGAAGAACCATCAAAAGGAGTTGTTGAGTGCAGGATCCAGAGATGATCAGAGCTCCACAGCCACCATTCCGAGTGCTGGGATGACTTTGCTGAGCTGCCTCATCATTCAGCTATTCTGGGCTTTCTGTGTCAAGGGACAAGGTAAGAGGCCAAATGAATAATAAAGATTGAACAATACTTTGGCTATACCATTCTCTGGTGTGCAGGGATAGATACTAAACCAGCCTGATAGTGCAAGGAGCCAAGGTGTGGTACAGTAACAGCTGTTGTTGGCACCCAAGGCAGGGGGTAGGTTATGAAGCCTTCTTTTTGTGTACGTCTAGAGAATATTTTTGCCTGTCAGAGTTAGTGCCTGATACAACAGGACTGAGTGTATCCCCCCGATACACTGGAGTGCAAAAGTGCCTGACTCTTCCCAGCATTTTTTAATGGGCTGCTTATGTAATCAGAACAGCCAATGAAATTCACTCTGTACGTCAGTCCCTGGTCCCAGTTCTACTCTGGAATTATCTATTCCACTAAGTGAACTGTAATTATATTCATTGTGTCCGTGTTTAAAAATTGTATCATGCCTGTATTCCGTTTTTTATGTATTACAGAAAACACTAAGACATGGGTGTGATGTGTAGCTAATGTGTGCAGTACTGTTTGTTGTGTGACAGATAATACAAATGAGGCCCTATAGGGTGAACAGGCCTTTTCATTTCTGACACCCATTCTGCTTTGTCCTTTCCCAATTATTACATACAGTAAATCTGCCATGCAGCAGTGTTCCCTGTAAACGAAGTGCTTGAGCAGCTGCCCAGGAGAGATTCCAGTGCCATCCAGCTGATTAGCAGAGCGCCCACAGCCTCCCATAGCCAGTAGTATTTTTTTCTACTGATGCAGAGACCAAAATTTATTCCACACATGGTTGGGAAAAATTAGAGAGAACATTGCAATGTAGGTAGGATTTTTCAGTAGATTGGGTGATTCCTTAGTAGATTTAAGAAGATCCTTTTGAAATCTAAGTATTAAGGAGGACCCGCTCCGAGGAAGAATTAGGGCTGTAGAGAGAAGCAGGATTTTTTTTGTAGTACCCCTGCCTCATTTGAGTTCAAAGGATTATGCTTAGCATTTCTGTTCTAGGGGGCATCTTTAAATGGTCCACTGAAAATTTGTTCTGGACTAAGCAGAGGGTTCTGTCCCAGAACTCACATATTGGGTGTCTGGGAGGGGGAGGTGTCTCCAGGGCACGACAACAAAGCCACTCATAGACCGGGTCCTAGCTATTTTGGAAGTCCAGTGTCATTTAGGACTTTGGGAAGCAGTTGATTGCTCTGGGCCTATGTGATCACCAAGTCTAGAAGAAAGCTGCATAGAAGCTATTGTCGAAGAAAGAGATCCAGCTTTGGCTGTAGCTCATCAGCACCCAGCATCTTCACTAGCTATAGCACAGCTGCAGCAATGAGCTGCTGAGATGCAGCTTGGAAAGCTCCACTTCACGTCTTTACATCACTTCGGTGGCTGAGTTATTAGGGGATCTTTTGTTTCCTCATTTCTTAAGGGGGTGTCTCTATGCCCCTCCACAGAGATGAAGGGGGTTGCATTCTTTTTTTTAGTTAGACAATCTCCCTTAAATTTTTTTTATCTCCTAGAACTGGAAGGGATGTTGAAAGGTCATTGAGTCCAGTCCCCTGCCTTTTCA